AGGCCCATACCTTTCGTGATGCATCATCAATGAATGTCACGAAGTATCTGCTTCCTCCAAGTGACTCCTCTTCAATGGGTCCACATACATCAGAGTGGACAAGACTGAGTAACTCTGTATGGTTCTTCTTGGTAGAACTGAAGGAAACCTTGTGTTGTTTCCCAAATAGACAGTGCTCGCATGAATCTAGGGCAACACCTTTGCCCATGAAAATGACTTCCTTCTTTGCAAGAGTTGTCAATCCCTTTACGCTCAAGTGACCTAACCTCCGGTGCCACAAGTTTGGTGATATCTCTTCTTCAACAGCATTGAGACTCGGATGACACAACTTTGCATGAGTTTTATAAAGAGTGCCACAAATATGGCCTCTTGCAACAACCAAGGAACCTTTAGATAGCTTCCACGTACCTTCTTTGAATCGGTTAAGATATCCTTGTTGATCCAGAGTTGTACCGGAGATAAGATTCAATCTAAGATCCGGAACGTGTCGAACATCTTTCAACACAAGTGCGCATCCGACATTGGTTATTATGTGCACATCACCAATGCCAACAATCTTCGAGAAACTGGTGTTTCCCATCTTCACAGCTCCAAAGTCTCCGGACTTATAAGTTGTGAATAAGTTCTGGTGTGGAGTGGCGTGAAATGATGCGGCTGTATCAATCACCCACTCAACATCATGAGTGCCTACGTGTAAACATTCTTGTTCACCATGTGTAACAAGACACACGTCTGATGACAAACTAACCATGGTCTCACCATCTTCTTGGCTAGTATTTTGACTCGTCTGTGGCTTCTCTCGTAGAAACTTTCTACAATCTCTTTTCTTATGTCCATAATTACTACAGTAATTGCAATATCCTTCGAACCAAGTATTGTTTTCAAAGGACATACCTCTCTCATGTGATCTTGCGCGAACTTGAGAATTTCCTCTACTTTGACCTTGACCTCTACCTCGACCTCGACTTCTTCCTCCATTTCTGCCTCCCCCTCGTCTGTTAGTTTCTGATATGAGGACATATGATTGTTCCGTTCCGGCTTCCTTCCTTCGGGCTTCTTCATTCATCAGGGCATCTGTGACCATCTGCATAGTCACCTTCCCATTTGCAGCAGAATTACTGAGAGTGACAACAAGAGTCTCCCAGTTGTCAGGTAGAGAGCTCAAGAGTAGTATCGCCTGCTCTTCATCTTTGAGAACCCATCCGGTGGTGCTCAACTGATTCACAAGATCCTGGAATTGACTGGTGTGTTCTGACACCGAAATACCCCCACGTAATTTGTGGTTTACTAATCTCCTCATTAGTAACGTCTTATTTCGGGCGGTTTTTGCTTGATACATGCTACCAAGCTTCTCCCATAGTGTGTAAGCACATTGTTCTTGAGCAACATGGTGGAACACACTATGATCTATCCATTGTCGAATTTGTGCGACAGTTTTTCGATTCATTTTTGTCCATTCTTCATCCGTCTTTTTATCCGGTTTCACACCATTATTATCAAGAGGATCTGCTAAATCCCTCAAATTTAGCAAATCCTCCATCCGAGGTTTCCACATATTGTAGTTTGTGGATGTGAGCGCAATCATGGTGTCTGACGATGATTTATCCATAATAAAACGCTCTATATATCTCGTACCTTATTTTCGAAGCCGAATTTGGACAAACGGAGCTCACCGTTAGATCCGGAATGACCGAAAATGGTAAGAACCGGTCTGACCTCGTCCAAAACTGGTCTGGAAACGGGTGAACCGGCCTCCAAAAGCACGAACCGGTTCGGTCCGGTTCAGGCAGCAGCCCAGCCTGCAGCCCAGCAGGCGAATGACGTGGCTCTGCTCCCTCACTGACGTGGCGATGACGTGTAGCCACGTGGCGTCTGACGTGGCTCACAGTGGACGGCTCGGGTGGATGACGTGGTGGATGACTCGGCACCACGTGTCGCTGACGTGGTCCAACGTGGCGATGACGTGGCAGCTGACGTGGATCGTCTTCTTCCTCTGGACTGCGTGATGACGCAGTGATGATGCAGGCAGTTTTCCGGCAGCGCGTACGGCCTCTCCCGGTGGCCAAAAAATCCCCAAAAATACCAGATTTCTCGTCTCGCCGAGACGAATCTAATGGTATGATCAGATCCTGATTCTGAGCAACTTGAAAAATCATGATTTTCTAACCTGTAGAAATTTATCTGAAAATTAGAAAACAGTGTATGGAAACTCCACCTCGCTCTGATACCACTTGTTGGGATTGAAAATTCTTCTATTCAATATCAAGAACAGAATTACAATAGGAGGAACAAACTCTCACACTCAACTATTACAAAAAACCAATCCTCACCAATACACTTCTACACTAAGTGTATTTCACTCTTCACACACTTTTCTCACTTTCTAAACTGATACTATGAACAACAATGGAGCACTCTATTTATAGGGATGGTTTGGAGACATGAGGAAGTTGCATCCAAGCTTCCTAGTTATCTTCATATCTTCTCCCACACCTATTTGTTGGAGAGCTCTTTCCAAGAATGTGCCTCCATGTGAAGGTGTCTCTTGGCAATTTCCAAGAAAGAAGGTGGAAGATACCTACAAGAACTTGCAGAAAACACAAAGACGGGAAAATATTTGATTTGGTAAATACCCGGTCGGGTATGTCAAAATACCCGGTCGGGTATCCGGCATTAGGTGTTGAAAACACCTATAAATAACCCCATTTTTCTTCACTTTCCATAACCAATTCACATATACTCTTAAGCTCAGTTTAAAATAGCATTTCTTTATATTTTTCTAGCATGTTTAGTCTCCAAATGAGGAGTTAAACTTCCATTTCTTGGTTTTGCTCTTGAAACTTGTTCATTATTAAAGTTGTGAGTTATTTTCTTAACTTCTCTCCTTGAATATTAGTTCTTCCCTTAATCTATCTCTATACTAATGTTGGAGGGTTGCTAAGTGACAATTAGTTAACGTTCTGACATTAATTATTACTAGAAACGATCAACGAACCGATGGTTAATCGTTGATGGTTTTACAAGTAAGTAACTTCGGTTTATTAATGCACGATCGTGGTTAATAAACTTGAGAGGGATTAATTTTGTTGGTTAAACCGAAACCGTTGGGTTGAGGTTATCAATCTCAATTGATTTCATCAAGGAGTTAGAAAGATTAAATGCTACTATTAAATCGGTATAAGGCGTTGTTCTATATTTGATTAATAGTAAGGGTTATTAATGAACGGTCGTTGTTAATAACTACCCTCGATGAATTGGATATACTCCTCGATTGAGTATTCGAGAGGGGATAAGTTATAGATATAACAATGATCGACTAAAATATACCAACAAGTGGAAAGTAGCAAAGCCAAGTCCCTTTTATTCTTGAATTAAATCTCATATAAGTCATTCATCTTTGTTTTTAATTAAATTAAATCATTCAATCCAAATTCCCCCCTTTACTTACTTCTTAAATTAAAAAGAAAAGTATTCTTTTCCCTGTGGATACGAACTCTATTTCACCTATACTATGTATAAGTGCTTGTATCGATTTATTTTGACGCACCGTGACAAAGTGTTCGTCATATATATAGATCATTGTTGTACTATTTTTTTCATTAAAGGATGATTTTATAAGATCAGATTTCACACCCTTTACTTTACTAAAACAATTCCCTGCTCCTACAATAATCCAAAAAGTTCCATATATTAATTAATTTTAAGGCCACCCTGGATGGGAAGCTCTAAATGAAATGTTATGTGGTTGGGAATGATAAATAGGCCCTACAGCCCTACTTATGAGAATATCAAGTTTATTGATGTGGATAGAGCCAGCTGCTTCTATATATTCAATCGGGATTCGGTTGCCCATAGTTTTTCCAATGCTAGTTTTAGAGAAGGACTATGGTGGGCAGAGGTAGATCAATCATTGATATATAGAGTAAACCAGATAAGATTAGATAGATCAAACGGGTGAATTGAAGGAACACGAAAGACTGGGAGTTGTATACTCCGTAGATAATTATTATACAGTATATAAATACTACCTCCGTCCCGGAATTATCTCCTTATTTGACTGGGCACGGGTTTTAAGATAATGAGAAATGTGTGGTGAAGAGTTGTGCAGAGGAAAGAGAAATGTGTAAGAATGATTGTGAACCACAAATTCTTTGCCAAAAAAAGAAAGAGGAGATAAATTTGGGATAGACCGAAAAGGAAAGAATGAAGATAATTCCGGGACGGAGGGAGTACTAGTTAATTTTTTAAGGCCTGGTCCGATCTTGATGGTGGGATAAAGATGTGAAGCACAACAATACACCTAGCCATGATTTTCACGGTGTATTTGATTTGAACTGTTAGGAATGAAAGGCTTTTTACCAGCAAACTAACTACAACATGCCACATTAAAGAGAAGTTTAAATCATTTGTTTATAAGATTGTGTTCGTCAAGAAATATTGGATTAATTGATGAGCTAATGTCAGCTGTTAAAGTGAAGTTAGAACTTAGAAGTATGACGACTAAATCTGGTGAACAGGGGTTCTAAGTTGAGCGGTCCTTAGAAGTATAACTTGAGTCATGCCAAAATTATACTCCATATATATATATAGAGAGAGAGAAATATTAAGGTCTGGAATTCCGAACCAGAACTGTCGTTCGGTCAACGTCTTTTGGAGCTCTTATCGGTGGACTTGTTTGATGAAATTTTTATGTCATGTTCTTTATCAAGTATAGTTTATCCATATCAAATTTGAGCAAAAAAATCAATCCCTAAGATCATCAAATGATTTTTGAAATAAAACTGCGTTATATATATATTCCGGCGCAGTTATCTTTCAAAAACCATTTGACAACCTTCCCGATTGAATTTTTTGCTCAAATTTGATATGGATGAACTATACTTGATGAAGAACATGTCATAAAAATTTCATCAAAAAATTACAGCGAGAAGGACCCCAAAATCCGTCGTCCGTACGGAGGTTCTAGTCAGAAAGGCCTGATTGAAAGATTACTATATATATAATCTAGAAGTATTTAATTACTAAATTCCAAACATTCAATAAATCATTCAATTCTCAAAATTGTGTAGTAACTATGGTAACAAAAATAAACAAACACAGTAATGAATCATTCATTATCTACCATCCAAATTGGTGATTGTAAGTTTGTTCAAAGTTTGATCAACATTATCAACAATAGAAGATGAATCTGGTTTAACATGCCTATTATCCATCACACAAAACCCAGGCGGTTTAGGATGGGGAAGTAAAGCCCCTTCACTTCTCAACATCAATATCACAGCTGCCATAGTTGGTCTATCTTCAGCTTTCTCCTGCACACATAGCAAACCCACCTGTATACTTTTTATGACTTGATCTACCTCATATCCTGAATCTGATTCTAATGCCATAGCTGAATCGCGTAGTTCCAATGCTCTTTCTTTTCTCCACAAACTCCAAGCCTGCAAATATGTGGTGAAAAATTAAATATCGTAAAACAAATACGGAGTATAAATATACAAACTAACACATAACATCTTGAGTTACTTCTTATGGAAACCCAAGACAAACTAATGATTTATGTTCAATGCTCTTGGTGCACTTGAAATCTTCTCAAAGAATCAAAAAATTGGCACATTTCAAAATTCTTGCACACTTACAAAGCCAAGTAGGTTTTCTTTTTCGTTTTGTTGATAGAATCCTCTATTCTTCTTTCCGCTAACTACTTCAAGCACTAGAACTCCGAAGCTAAAAACATCAGATTTCACCGAGAATTGTCCATCCATTGCATATTCTGGTGACATATACCCACTAATAGAAGAAAAAGTAAATGTTAATTAAAGGAAATAGTAAAAAGTAGTCTTTTGTAGAGTTAGAATTAACATGAAAGTAATGGTTCCAGTGATTATTACTATGTTCCGACTACTCTCTTTGTAGTGTTGGCATCTGTTTCGTCACCTCCAAATATTCTAGCCATGCCAAAGTCTGATATTTTAGGATTCATCTCTTTATCCAAGAGAACATTGCTTGCTTTAAGATCTCTATGGATAATTCTAAACCTCGAGTCTTGATGCAAATATAAAAGTCCACGAGCAATCCCATAGATGATGTTGAAACGCCTTTTCCAGTCTAGTAGTGAGCTTTTGTGTTTATCTGGACAAACATATATATAATTAACATTAGTGAGACAGGGTCAAACATATTCAACCAGCCGCATTGATAAAAAATAAAAATACACAACATCTAGCATCTTGAGGTATTGTTTTAAACGTTACTTTTTAGGTCAAGATGAAACCCAATATAAATGATAGAACTTACCAAATAAAAGAGAATCCAAGCTTTTGTTTTCCATGTATTCGTATACCAAAATTTTCTCCTCGTTATCAACACAACAACCAAGAAGCCGGACAAGGTTTCTATGTTGGAGTCTTGCAATCAATCTGAGCTCATTTTTGAATTCTTCTACTCCTTGTCTAGATTTCTCCGATAACCTTTTCACTGCAATTTCTTCACCGCCAATGAGTGTTCCCTATCAATATTTCAATCATAATTGTTACGACATGTTAAAACCGAATGTTCCATCCATTAAGGTCAGTTTTATTGGATGAGTAGTTTAAGATCTTGTTTGACAAATATCTCAACATAGCAACTTATGAAGGATGTTTTAACTTTATCTAAAATTTTGAATGGTGTGATCTTGTCTATTTAAGTCTGATCTACTTAAGGCTAAAATAATTGATTTTTAACTAGTTTGCTCTAATCTAGCAGTGCATGTATTTAACTATTATCTAAATATGGTGTAGCTTGCTGACTTTCATTCAAGTCTTTGTTCTTGTTTGATTTGGTCTAAGAGAACAAAATGAGTATAGTGAAAACATCCTAATCATATTACTTATATGGAAGAGTAAATCATTTCAAATAGCTATGTATTACCTTGTAGACAGAGCCAAAACCACCTTGCCCAAGCTTATTTTCTTTGGAGAAATTGCTCGTTGCTTCGAAGATGGTGCTTAAATCGAATAAAGGTAATTCAAACTCGTCTGTCATAATTCTTTCACCAGAAAGCTCTCTCTTATTTATGATAGGAGTTTCAACCATTAGTAGATCTTCACTTCTTTTTCCAACGCCTGCTTGAAGAAGATATATGATGTGGGTTAAAAAGGATTTGGTTATACCGGTAAATCGATTTAATTCAGATTTTAAGTGACCCATCCAATTATAATCTCTCAATTTATTAAATTACTAAAATGCATATGAATTTTGTGAATAATATTATAACCTCCGAGGTATATATTTGCCGCAACAGCTCTCCGTGATCTTCTTCTCTTCCACAAAAACAACCCAGACAGAATAACTCCAATCCCAAGTATAATGCCACATGCCAATGTTATCAATTTTTTCTTGCCAAACCTATCTCGGGCTTTTGGAGCATTCCCATTTTGTTCTGAACTTGGAACATTGAAATGTAATTAGTACAACTTCATAACATTTTGGAAGCCAAAATTTAATGGGTGAAATTAGGAGAACACATCTGCATATGTAGAATGAATTGTTGTTCCATAAAAAACTAGGTTGACTCTAATCAACAAAAAAATTGAATAAAGGTTAACTTAGATGATATGTTAAACTTACTTCACAAAAAAACTTAACTTGCAAACGTTCAGTATAAGGAGGTTCTAAAATTAGTTCATTTTAAAATTAGGCTGGTGTCACCAAAAAACGAAGTTGTCCTAAATCTAAACCTACCAAAGCTTAAGTTCAATTCTAAATAAACAAACCATATACTTCGTATGATCGAAGTGATAGGATTTATTTTTCACATCCATATCAATACTATGTATAATATGGCGTTTTTAATTGAAATCATTTCACTCTTAGACAAGATCATACAAGATCATAGTTACACAAGACTATATAATATGACCCATCATGTGTTATTGTGGAATGAATTGGAGTGGGTATAAGGACGTTTTTAATTGAAATCGTTTCGCTCCTACACAAGATCATACAAGACTTTATCAGATCAAATCAAACCAAATCAAATTGGATTTCGACAGTTATAGAATCCACATATAACTAACATATACTCTATTACACTAGACGACAAAGTTAGATTCCAATTAAAAACATTTTACTATGTAAAAGATGAAGTATGACATGCCATTAATTGGCCAACTGTAACATGGAATCGCAACTAACTTAGCCTTATATGGCCAAATAACCAAATTATCGAACACCTTCTGACAATCCACTTATTCTGGTATTCAAAATCGTTGTTTGTATCCGCTATTGACAATAAGATAACGTAGTCTGTTATTCGCTAACCGCTTACCGATGCCAAACACGCACAAAACTAGGGAAAGAAAGACAACAGAGCTAACCTGCATCATAAGCAGCCACACGAACGTAAAGAACTTGGTCACCTACAGAAGAAGAATTGCGCATGTCCAGAAGCTCCGTCGACCATATTACGCAACCCGACCCGCCATTGCTGACATTGGCGTTGCTATAAGCCGTGCAGGAGCAATTCTTCAGGCACGTCCCCTTACACTCATCTAAACTCATCTTCTCATCCACAAAGGCACCCCCACTCTCCGGCAACTTCATATAGTGCAGTGCCAAAAACCCATCCCCTTCGCATTCCAATTTGTCGACCCGAGTGCACCCGCCCGACCCATCCCGCAAACCCCAAGCCTGCTGGTTTCGGGGCTTAAACCCGGGGACCAAACACCTGCAAACAGGTGACTTCTGGGTGTCGCATACACCAAAGGCACCGCATTCTCTGTAATGGTCGCATGGATCTTTCGGCGCGTACCAAAATCGGTTCCAAAGGAGGCTCTCCGCGACCCACGTGTACCTCTCCAGATACCCTGTTGTTTGGTTCACTATCAATCTTGAATACAACGTTTCATTTTGGATCTTGAATGAGTAGTAAACTTCGTCCTCCGTCCTCTTAAAGGAGAAACTGATGACTCCTTCTTCTTCCATTTCTGGGACTCCGCTGAATCGCTTCCCATTCCAGCCTCCACTCCTGTACAAGATTGAATCTTTATTTCTCAAGAATGCTTCTGGGTAGCCATTGATGTCCAGCTTGAAGCTTATATCCCCTTCCGATGGATCGATTAGGCTTCTCCAGGATGTAATATATCGATTAAGCCCAGTTTTTGAATCCCATCCTAGCTTCATTCCAGGTAAGAGTGTGTCTGTCGGGTGGTCAAAGCTTTGCCAGAGGTAATCCTCTGTGTTTTCATCATTTTCTTGGCGAAGAACAAAGTTCCCAGAATTTAGGAGCTGAGCAATACCCGTGTTGTTTCTTGGAACCGGGAGATTTGTCTGATTCAGTGATGACCAGATAGAATCGCCTATGCTGTCTACCAAATGGATTCCCCCATCTTCACCAATTTTCAAGAATCCAGGGGAATTCGTGAGTGGTTTGTCTCTGTTTGCGACCCAAACGACTGTTCTCTGTTTTAGTTTCTTGTACCATATCCCAACATACCGTTTGCCGGAGTTGCCAGGAGTGAAGAATCCTAGTTCAAAGAGCTTCTCGGCGGAGACTAAAGTTTGGTTTTCTGCGAGGGGACGTGTGGGAGTGATGGTGTCAATCGAAATAGCTATGGAGGTTAGTAGATGGTTTGGAATTAGAAAGAAGAACAATAGACCGCGGTTTAGTGGTTTCATGATGGTCATTTTTCTTGAATGGAAAAACACGTTTTATTGAAAATTCACAGGTTTAGTTCTCCGTGTAAACATATATTCCGTACAGAGTATTGTCAGGTTCTCTTCATGAATAAGGAATACTCGTATGACTTTCTCCAAGCATGTGATACCGAGTAGAACGGTAGAAGAATATTTTGAGCTGGTTTAGTAGCACAAAAATGGATTGATTCTGCTGATATTTATAAAATTTCGGTTGAAGTCGTTGCATTGGCTGATTATGTTGATTTAAAAAATTAAAATAAAATATACTCCCTCCGTCCTTTATAACTTTGCCAACTTTCCTTTTTTGGATGTCCCACTAACTTTGCCACTTTCCCTTTTAAGTAAAAAATTTGTGGTTCCATTTCATTCTCTCTCCTCTGCACAAACCTCAATCACACAGTTTTTACTTTATTATTTTCTGTGCCGGTCAAACATGGCAAAGTTATTAGGGACGGAGGGAGTATATTTTATTAATAAAATAAAGAAAAAATTATATGTAAAACTAGCTAAAATGGTCATCTACAGTAACTTCGGCCAATACGACCATAAAAGTAACTTCAACCTTACTTTTTCTGCTTATTACACAATTTAGCGCGCGAAAGCAAAATTTACGTAATTACTTGGTCCAAAAGGTGGAATCTCCCACCCCAGGAGCCCCCCACTCCAACCCGACAGGATGGTGGGGAGGTTAATCATGGTGCGCACCAGCAAAGTGACGGTAAGCCTTATACACGTGCGCACCAGAGGTCCAATCTTATACGTGCGGTAATTACATGTTTGGTCAAAAAGTTGACTGATAAGCCCGATAAGTCTGACAAACAACCCGTTTGAGTGGAGGCATGGTGTTTTGATCAAGGGTCAAACAACAATATTATACAGTATTACGTACAAAGTTTGTTAACTTATTGTAATTTCCTTGTTCCAAAAAAGGTGGAATCTCCCACCACAGGAGCCCCCCACCCCGACCCGACAGGATGGTGGGGAGGTTAGTCACGGTGACTCAGTCAGCAGAATGGCAGTAGACCCATACACCCGTGCGCACCAGAGGCCCAACCTTATTTCAGGTTCTGTGACCTCCACTCGGTCGCTGCGAGGATTCGAACTTTGATCCATTGTTCCAAATCTCCCACCATTCGACCAACTGAGCTACCCGTGCGGATAACTTATTGTAATTTCCTAACTGTACTAATAAAACGGTCCGTGTAAGTGTTTTAACACGCCTAGTTGCCTAATGTATTTCATGGACATATATACGCATTATTAGCTTATAAACGAATAATCTGGAAAAACAAATACTTCTTCCGTCCCATCAAATTCTTTCCATTTTCCTTTTTGGTTCGTTTCAAAAATTTCTTCTAATTTACCATTTTTGAATAATTTGTGTGGTTCACATTCATTTCATCTTTTTCTTACACAACTACAACTACACATTTCCACTGTATTCCACTTTCTTAATCTCCGTGCCAAGTTAAAGTTGGAAGAATTTTCAAAGACGGTGACAGTTACTAAGAGTGTAAACAATAAGTATACAAAATATGTATGCACCAATAATGATTTTTCTAAGTTTTGCTATGCTATAGAATATAGATAATAGATTGGACGACGCCTCTTATAACTAAGAGTGCAAACAATAGGGATGTTTTTACTTGGTTTACTTGTTTTACCTTTATATGCTTAACATAACAGAGTGAGAGTGTTTAAGAAGAGTTCTTGAAGGTAATCTTCCAACACTGTGAAGTAAGAGAAACGTGTCATCAAACAGTTTGCACTATCTCCGAAGTGAAATTACTACATAGACAATCTGGGTTGATTTTGGAGCTCACAAGAGTTGCTACAAATCAATATGGTATCTCCCAATTGTTTACCTGTTTTTATCATTATATGCTTTAACATAATAGTGTGTCCAAAAAGACTTCTTGAATGTAATCTTCCAGGTTCCAACACTATAAAGTAGGAGAATTGTGTCACCTAATAGTTTGCGCTAACTCCATAGTGGAATTACTACATGGACAACCTGGATTAATTTTGAGTTCACACCAGTTACTCCAAATCAATATGAGCTGTCCCTATTGTATTTCCATTCTCTAACTGGTGGAGGAACTTTAGGAAATAGAGTGGAAAAAGACAAACCTGACTTTCCAAACTAAAGATTGTAATGCATATGTGAGTTTACATTAGAACAGATTAACTCATACATTAGAAAATGTCCACATATTCTACTACATGGCTCTCCTCTTACTTTCTTTTTTTAGAGTCATCATATTTCCATATCCAAAGAGTATAATACTTTAAGCATTACAAATGTCCACATATTCTACTGTTCTCTCAAATGGTTACCTATTCATTGGTAATTAATTATAAAATCTCAACATCCGAAAAAATCTCAATAAAAACTGACTCTGACAGACTTCATCTCAACTTTAAGGGGTTTATGAAAATATCTTGACATTAAGGTTTATGAAAATGAGTTTAATACATCATGTGACATTTGATGTGTAACTTATTTAGGACACTTTTATTGAGACTAAACTGTTTGTACACATCTGCTAAACGTTTCACTCAATGGTTACTATATAGATTTCAAAATGTAGATCTCAATAGTAAAAAAAAAAAATTATATTACGTACATATATGCAGAGATGGAAAAAACAGTTTTTTTATTTCAGGTTTCTATTGAGTAGGTGAAAGGGTTTGTTTTGTAGGTATCTTCCACCTTGTTTCTTGGAAGTTGCCAAGAGACACCTTAACATGGAGGCACCTTCTTGGAAAGAGCTCTCCAACAAATAGGTGTGGGAGAAGATATGGAGATAACTAGGAAGCTTGGATGCAACTTCCTCATGTCTCCAAATCAGCCCTATAAATAGAGTGCTGCATTGTTGTTCATAGTATCAGTTTAGAAAGTGAGAAAAGTGTGTGAAGAGTGAAATACACTTAGTGTAGAAGTGTATTGGTGAGGATTAGTTTTTTGTAATAGTTGATTGTGAGGGTTTGTTCCTCCTATTGTAATTCTGTTCTTGATATTGAATAGAAGAATTTTCCAATCCCAACAAGTGGTATCAAAGCGAGGTTGAGTTTCCATACACTGTTTTCTCATTTTCAGATAAATTTCTACAGGTTAGAAAATCGTGATTTTTCAAGTTGCTCGGAATCAGAATCTGATCATACCGTTAGATTCGTCTCGGCGAGACGAGAAATCTGGTATTTTTGGGGATTTTTTTGGCCACCAAAAGAGGCCGTACGCGCCGCCGGAAAACTGCCTGCATCATCACTGCGTCATCACGCAGTCCAGGGGAAGAAGACGATCCACGTCAGCTGCCACGTCATCGCCACGTTGGACCACGTCAGCGACACGTGGTGCCGAGTCATCCGCCACGTCATCCACCCGAGCCGTCCGCTGTGAGCCACGTCAGACGCCACGTGACTACACGTCATCGCCACGTCAGCGAGGGAGCAGAGCCACGTCATTCGCCTGCTGGGCTGCAGGCTGGGCTGCTGCCTGAACCGGACCGAACCGGTTCGTGCTTTTGGAGGCCGGTTCACCCGTTTCCAGACCAGTTTTGGACGAGGTCAGACCGGTTCTTACCATTTTCGGCCATTCCGGATCCAACGTTGAGCTCCGTTTGTCCAAATTCGGCTTCGAAAATAAGGTACGAGATATATAGAGCGTTTTATTAAGGATAAATCATCGTCGGACACCATGATTGCGCTCACATCCACAAACTACAATATGTGGAAGCCTCGGATGGAGGATTTGCTAAATTTGAGGGATTTAGCGGATCCTCTTGATAATAATGAAAAATTCTAAAGGTACACACTTTTTACACATGTCTGTGTATGATTTTTTTTTGTCTGTACTGACAAAAAAACTTTACACAGACATATTTAAAAAGTGTGTACCTTTAGAATTTTTCATTTAAATACACTAGTATGAAGGCCTATATTGCCGTATACGACCGGTTAGGAAAGTGGTCATATTGCGTGTTGCAAACAATAAGAGAAAAGTTAGTGAACCTTCTAGAGACATCAAAAGGTTGACATCTTTCAATAAGGCACTCACATTATTTTATTATTTGATATTGAGTATCAAATTTTTATACTCCCTAATACGAAGTATTTAAATTCCATTTGGCTTTCGAGTAAAAAAAGTAGTGCGCAAGTAGTTTTCTAATATGTAATTTTATTAAGAAAAAATCTATTTATTTACGAAATTTGTACACACTCGTTACACATTTATACGTGATTGTGTGTAAATAAACAGCCATCTGTTTATCCAAACAACTAGAGGTGCACATATTGTGTACAAACAATTTCATACAAATGTACCAAGTATGTACGAATTTTGTGTACACCAAGAATTGATGTCTTAATTATAAATACTACTGAGTATATATTTCAAATATTTCCACATAAGCTTGAACTTTATTGTCTATCTAATTTCAAAAAAAAATTAATTTACACATCTTTCAACATCTCTTTTTTACCTAGGTCTTTCGTGATTTCTATTATTGCTTATTTGCTATCCCTCGAAGATAGTGACCCTCATATTTTGGATCAATATAATTGTATTTGATCTCACATATACTTGCACAAAATTGGTTGATCAAAATGAAGAAAACGGAACAAAGGTACTACCTCCGTCCCACTAACATTGGGACAGAACAAGGTGGCACGGTTATTAAGAAAAATGAGTTTATGTGGTTGATATTGAATTGATAAAGTAAGAATGATTAAGAGCTACACAAACTTTACCAAATATGATATGAGATAATCTTAGTGGAATTTCCCGAAAAGGTAAAATGAGATAATCTTAGCGGGACGGAGGGAGTATAACACACAAGTGCCAAGAAATAACTACTTCCTCCCCCATAAAATTCTTTCGACTTTCGTTTTTGGGCCGTTCCAAAAAAGTCTTCACACTTACCATTTTTGTACAATTTGTGTGGTTCACATTCATTTCACATTTTATTTACACAACTACAACCACACATTTCTACTTTATTCCACTTTCTTAATCTCCGTGTCAAATCAAAGTGGGAATAATT